TCCTGTCTCCTATACACATCTAGATGTGTATAAGGGGGTTGGATTACACAGCGGGGTGTATGGTTTGGCAATTTGTGTGTTTTCTGTCTATGGAGGTGGTTGATTGAAGACGGGGGGTAAAAGAAGGCGGCGAACGAAGCGGGAGTACGCTGTTGTGTGTGTGGGGGGTCGGTTCGTGTTGGGGGGGGTGGGGTTGGGGGGGGGATGTGAGGCTTTCAGCCGGGGTTGATTTGCATGGTGGTCTTTTTGTGTGATCATCACAAGCAGTCCTAAGAACGAACAAACAAACGAACGAACGAAAGGGAGGGGGAGGTGGAAGGATGGAGTCCTTGGAAGCCGTCGTTGCAAATACCCTTGCACTTTCTAGTACGTTTGACGATCTGTCCCATTTGTCTTCTCTGTTGAAGCAATCGGAGGATTTGCTTGTGCGCAATTTGGACAAGCTAGGAGACGTATTGGGAGCCCTGGATGCAGGCAGGCATTCTCTAGCCTGTTTGCACATCCTCGATGTCCTGTCGTCTAGGGTACCAGTTGGTTCTCCCGATTCCGGTGAGGTGATTTGTCGTATCTCTAGTTTCATCAATGATTGCTCCGCAGATCAGATCCGATTGGCACCAGAATTATTCGCCTCCGTCTGCCATAAGCTGAAGGATTTCGTAATGACCGCCGGCAATCTTCCAATCAAAGCCATTTTGCCCTTACAGACGGCGATCAGGAAGATTCAGCCTACCCCAGAGCATTTTACCCCTCAACACGCCGATTTCACTCTTGTCTGCTTGCTCTCCAAGTGCTATAATGCAGCCCTCCCCATCTTAGACACTGATATTTTCGAAGTGGACCCCAAGAAGACGGCCCTAACCCCTCGTGATTTCCTTCTTTATTGTTACTATGGGGGTACGGTCTACATAGGTCTGAAGAGGTTCAATAAGGCGCTGCAGCTGTTTCACCATGCCATCACTGCGCCTTCCACCGTGCTCAATGCTATCACCATAGCCGCGTACAAGAAGTTCGTGCTGGTCTCTCTCATCGTTAATGGGCAATTAGCGCAGTTCCCGAAGTATACGCCGTCGATCGTGCAGAGGAGCTTGAAGACGCAGTCGCAGGCGTATGTGAATATGGGGAATGCCTACGCGACGAGGAACGTGGAGGAGGTACAGCGATGCATAACAAGTCACCACGAGGGCTTCAACAACGACCGGAATCTAGGGTTAGCAAAGCAGGTGGTGGCATCGCTGTACAAGCGGAACATCCAACGGCTGACGCAGACGTATCTTACCTTATCCTTACAGGATATTGCCGACACTGTGAAACTCGAGGGGCCACGTGATGCAGAAATGCACGTGCTGAGGATGATAGAAGACGGAGAGATCTTTGCTACTATCAATCAGAAGGATGGGATGGTCCGATTCCACGAAGATTCAGAGCAATACAACACCATGGAAATGGCTGAGCGCCTGGATGGAGAGATCCACAGCATGATGAAATTGGCGGGAAAATTAACGGCAGTGGATGAACAGATTTCGTGTGATCGGGCTTACCTTGGCAGGATGTCCATGAGGGATGGTAGACATGGAAGATATGCAGATCCCGACGATTTCGACCATGTCGGCGCGCAGAGAATCCTTGATCCTCAATAACAGTTGGTCGCGTCTGTAGGCAAAGTCCATATCTTTCTCTTTCTCTTTCTCT